AATGCAAACATTTATATGAAATATCATCAACAAAAAAGTACAGGAATGGTGAAAACGTTTAACAAAATATATTCCATATTCGATGGATGTAATAGGTTTACGATAAAGAGTATCCATATAATGGTAAGGACGCCCCACGCATTGGTACCGACCACCAATTAAGAATATTGTATTAATTTCATAAATTTGATGACCGACCTTTACAATATGATTCCGTTTTCCGTATCACACGGTGCGGTTTATATTTCGCTTCATAATCTACTGGTTGTTCTATGTCGATTTCTGCAGAATGTATTTCAGCAATTCTGTGTGCCAACTGTTGAAGAGGAAGTTTCTTTGCACGTACTAGTCTTTTAATTTTGTTCATGTAGTTCTCAAAGGGAAAAGTACTATAGTTGCTTAGTGTACCGTACAATTTTACATCGCGATACACGTGTTGTAATGAATGCACGTTATAAACAATGAATTCTGGCCCATATATTGTTTTAGACCGCGATACAAATGTATCGAGAAGTTCTTTAGCAATGTGTAAGGGAGAGGCGATTAATGACCTATTCGATAAAGTCGTTATAGCAACGTGAAGTAAGAGAAAATGATGAAATAGTTCCCGATTCAATATATGAAACATTACAATTGGTCCATAATATAGTAAAAACATGCAAAATTCCGTTGCCTTCCATCGCATAATTTCTGTTAGTGGTCGAGGTTTCCGCGCAAATTCAACTGTAATATTCGATCGTACCAAGTTCTGTACTATAATATTTATACGCCGTATACATTGTTGCGAAATTTTGTAAGCTTTACGTTCTTTTCATCCCTGGATCCAATATAATTGCAGTAATCTCCTCATTACTCCAAGAAAAATAAGGTGCATAGGGTCGAGTGGAAATTGGGTCACGAGTTTCGCGTTAATTTTCAATAATGGAGACTTTTCCTGTATGTGTTTATTACTTGCAATATCTTCAGATAAAAAATCGTTATTTTCCCGTTCCCGAAAATGTCTATTAACCGGATAATACAATTTATGATTTGTAACACATGCTTTACTGAAACAGCGTTCGCAACCATAAGAACTCGTATGTCCGGATACCATTTTCATCATTGCTCGAGCAGGAGCATCGCAAATAAAACATCGAATTTGGATTTGAAGCAGTTTTCCCTTATACGTTATTCCATTAGCCACTAATGATTCAATTTCTGTTATCCATCTATCTACATAAATGTGCAACGGCTTCGACTTTCCCATACCACCAAATAATGCAACAATAAATGGCGATTGATCTTTCAATGAAAGACTGCGACATAAAATAGGCAAAAATTTATGGGAACTACTTTTAAAAAGTGGTAAACCGTTGACATTAAAATCTAATTTAATAACATCTTCATTTTGCGACGCCATTCCACGCTTTAATTTTAACTTTAGTTCGTCTTGTAAACCGAAATAGCATAATTCACCATTATCTAGTGCAATGGTTTTCACTTTTCTCGGAGTTTTCAAAAAACTTCTTGCATTCGTTGACAAATTGGGTATGCATGGTTGTGGCACACGTAGAAGATCTGTAAGCGCATTTTGTGTAATATTATAACGACATGCCCATTTCCGCAAATGATTTTTAGTCACATGAGTTTCCGGTGAAAATTCGGTATCGTCACAATTTTCATTATTAGAGTGAACACTAATAGAAGATTTAGGACTATCCACGTAATTCCGAACGATCTCAAATTGATTTTCAAGAATATTAGAACTTGGCATGATTTGTATCTTCGTAGATAATATCAGGGCCACTAGCGACGTTGTTTTCCCTTTCGAAATGATACTGATGATGTTTAGCAGTACATTGTGAAGAGAAATTATACGAAATTGTTGTTCTATTAAACTTAAAGTCCTAGATACATTGGCTGCTCGTTTTCGACGCAACTGTCGTTTACTTAATAATTTGGATCGCAAACACATCCCATCCATTTTAAACAATACATATAATTATTAAAATAATAAATTTTGTCTTAATAGCTTCGCGTACCAAATGTAACTTATAATGCTCATTACTATCCGTCGACAGTTATCTGAGAAAAATTAAATACAAACATCATTCTAACGAATAAAAATGAAATAGTGGAATATACGTTTTATACACGTAAGCGTAACGGATGTATAGTGTAGGCATAAAAACAACCATTTGTCGAAGCAGGATGTTTTCTCTGCATAAAATATATGTTTATGAGGAACATTAATTTTCAATATTACGTTATCGACGCGTTTATTTTTAAATAAAAGGAAACATTTATTTCTCAAGTTAATTAAAAGTATGGTGAATTATTATAAACGATATTTTGGCGTTTCAGAATTTGCTCCACATATTTTATAAACGTGTTGAAAATGCATTTATTTCTAAACATTTAAAAGTAAATGTGTAAACAACTCGTATGTTACGCAGTTATAACGGTAATTTAATTATCTTAAAATAGACGCAACATCAACGGCGAATACGTCATAGAAAGAATAGAACGTGCAGAGAACGTTTTATTAATTTTAAGTGTGTGTTCCACTACTTTGAGTTTATTGGGTACATATATAGGAATTTTTATACTACAATAATCGTGGACACAATATTACGAATGTAGAATATTTTCCTTTAAACAAAATAACTGTACAGCTAGAATTTTACGACACAAGTAGTTTATATATTTTAAAGAAGTATTTTAATTTGACTGTAAACGTGTGACTCAAAATAATTTATGCAATTATATTTAGAAAGTTCGTAGTAAATTATAGGTTTTCTAAAATCACTTTTGCAAATACGATCTTAACTGCGCATTAAACATGCAATGAATTTACGTCGAATACGCGTGGAATAAACGCGTTCACTAAAAGTATTCGTTTTAAAAATGTTTATAAATTTTTCCAATAAAATCGTGATATATATTTTCGTTTGCTCGTTCTCTGTTGTTCAACGTGAAGAAAGATTACTTAATATCCTGAAACAATTATAGATATTATACGACACTGAAAAGGCACTGTATTAACACATCATTAATTTTACGTTAAGTACTAGGATTAGTATTTATTTCTGTTCTTCGCGGCATATTTAATTATTGTAGTTATTTGTATCATTAATATTCTTTTTATAAATACACTTAATAATCCGTTGGTATCAATTCTTCTTACCTTTATTTAGATTTCTCGTCTTTCCTTTTTTTTTTGTTTCTTTTTATGGCGCTGGAACGACTGCAGAATTTGGACTGCGGAATAAGATGCCTCACTCGCACGACGATCCCCACCACTGTTTTGAAGATCACGCGTAGAGGGGGTAGCATTGCAACCCATAATATTACGCATGGAAACTTTTCTTAAATCCACCAAAAAATGATTGCAATAATTAAAATTATTGCACATGACGACTAATCATCTCATTTTTATTCCCTTCTGTATGTAATGTGATTGGAAATAAATTTTATAAATCGATCATTATTGTGTACGATGTAACGAGAGGATTCATCCTGTATGAAATATAAGATCATCTCATAAATAAAGCATTTTTTACCTCGTTATATATGGGGTAACTTAACATTTTATTGCGTTTCACAAAAAATCCTTTGCATACTTCAACATGCGACTAATTAATTGAAGAGCAAAAAATAATGAGAACACAATGATAGGTATCAGGGAGTCATCTACCGTATAAAAGAGTTCCCTGACTGACTGACTGTGACCAATTCACCCCAATAAACACATGGTAATTAATTTAATGTATATTATATGTTAAAAATTAAGAACGTTGAAATAATAAACGTTTGTGGTTTAGGTGTCCAGAAAACATAAGGAAAGTGCGTTGCAGCTACACGTATATTACTACGTTATAAATACACGTATATTAAAAACGTTAATAGCTCTAATAAATCCACTTGATTGTAACTGTATCTTTTACGGATCGATTCGATGAATTATAATAAATATGTTTAATGTTTATTAACTCATTGTTGATCGGCAATTTTAAGACGCTAATCGTTCCGGTACGAGTTAACTCGGGACCGGTCAGCAATGTGTTAAGAAACACAATGATGATGTTTTTGTCATATAAGTAAACTGCGTCATAGGATATGTGTTTCCTGGGAAACTTCAGAAACGATCAAATGCATCAGCGGGTGCTTGGCAATGACTGTGTTAAATAAAATCTGTTGCGAGGCTCACGTCACGCCAGCCGAAACTTCTTTCCAAGTTAATATATAATATAGTACCCGCAGATTCAACTAGCTATGACCAATGCCCACAGTTTTTAGGTAAATAGTTCAATAATAAATACTAATATTTTAAAAGGACAAGGAAAATACGCGGAAAACATTACGTTTTGCGTAATATATATATTCCAGTGCCAAAATCTTGAATTTTTCAAGTAAATTGAGTCGAAATACAAAATCTGTTTGTAGTCTAAATTTACCCGAGAAATTCACGCTCTCGATGCCCACATTTTATAAAATCAAACACCTAAAATTAAGTGGTCTTACTAGTAATATGAACGTTTATAATATACGTATCTTTATATCGCAATAATACGCGTATGACCGCAACGTACATTCCTCGTGATTTCTGAACACGTGTATTAGAAACGTTTATTATTTCAACGTATACCTAATTTCCACTGTAACCACATATATTATATGTCAAATCAACTACGATGTGTTTATTGGGATGTAAATATATCAAACATGTGAATAAAATAATGTATATTTACGTGTTACGTCTCGATGTAGTGTAGTTATAAATCTAGATTCTAAAATTAAAATAAAATCGGGTTCAGAGAAAGCGAGCCCTGCACCGGAAAGAAGTAAGGTGCAGAGCTGGCATTCCAGAGGTGCTCACGGGCTCGCGGGGGTCGAAGTCCACGCGACGTCGGAAAGTCATCGGGTGCGAAATCCCGCGTCAGCACCAGGTTCAGCGTCCCGGAGGCGCTACCGAGCTCTAGGAATCCGAAGACGCAGCAAATGGTGGACCCAACCTTAGAGGGCCTCTAGCCCCTACTCCTTGTCCAGGAAACCGCGGAAAACCTGGAGTTCGGCCGGGAACGCACTCCGTTTTGAATTTTTCAGTGATTGGCATCCAAGTCTAGGAAGAAGTGCACGAAGCTGACGAGCAGAGTGAGGAAGGTAATTGACAAAGAGCACCCATGCTAATCGGAAGGCATCGGAGACCAGAGGCCCAGTACCGGACCCTTTTTTATCCCAAAAACACCAATCACCGAAGGTTAGCATTGAAGCAATTTTCAATTTCAACCCTTCGTTTGTATTACGGTCAATTGTCCTTTCCTCCAATAATAGCTTCTCGGGTCGGTTTATTTTTGGAGATCAAGTTGTTGAAATTCAGATTTGATATCGCGATTACCGGAAAGTGTCATTAGCCGGCGATTGAGATTTGCGTACGATGATTAAGAGTTAGCTATCTGTCACGATTAATTACCTGCGGAATCCGAAAGAAAGTTTAAAATTTTAGTCGGTCGAAATTTACTGTATGAAATTTTATTTAATGAGGATGGCCCCTATTCAAAATTTGATTTATACTATTCGTTATTGAAATCGTGTATTTGATTTTATTGTTTGTGAGTTTTCCCGAACGGTGTTTGAATTGCGTGGATTATTCGGATGTCACCTCGGTTGTCTGTGAATTCTATATCTTGAATAAAGATATAGAATTAAATAAAAAATTTAAGAATAGAAATAAAAAATTTCATTATCTTAAGTGAGTAAATTCTGTTTTGACTGATCAAGAGAAAATCTATTTACTGTTAACATTATTAAATTCTAATTTCGGCCAATGTGACTTGGGTAGTTTGCGTATGAACCTTTTCTAACTTTGAGGGTTCGCAACCTTATAATAAATTCAAGTTGTTTAGTGAAGTGAAAACGGTTAAATGAGTGCTTTGGTTGAATTATTATTTTATATACGAAGCCGTTCGGTAAACTTCACTCAATCATGCTTTATCCTGAGTATATCACCGTGTCATTTGTTTAAATCTCTTATGTGCAAATATTTTGTGGTAGACGGACGCTCGGTAGGGGGAAGAACCAAGAAAAACTTTAAAGTTTTGCGGCCAAAAATTGGTAACCCCTCGGTAGGCCTAAACGGGGCACAACGCACAAGCGGGCGAAGGTTTCCTCTCAATAGTTATCGGTCCAAACGGGACGCAACCCGACGGAAGGCTAACTATGATACACGCGGGGTCGGCAGGTGCCACCTAGGCGCGGAAGATGGCTATTGCCAAAACGGGAAGAGACGCAGTCCAACGGACCGACCGTTGCACGGAAATTTGAAAAGGTCGGCGCCCACCGAACGGCGTGGGAATTTTCCCGCCCGCGGTGCTGAAAGGTACGGGTATCGGGAACGCGTTACGAAATCACGAGCATCTCGGCATGGCAGCAGCAATTCGGCGCTTATTCCAGTCGGTTATCGCAATCTATCGGAACTCGCGAAACGAAACAAACGACTGTTCGAGAAAGACGAAACTGCTCGAGAGAACGGAACGACTCAAGAAAATGAAACGGTCAAGAAAACGGCTAAGAAAACAACTCATTCAAGAAAACGGATCCATCTAGGAAACGGCTTACGGCACGCAACTCCTCGGGATCGGACAATGGCGGTAAACATTCCGAGCCCCATTGGCAGGCTCAGGCTCAACGGTACGACTGGGTGGGATGATGTAGCTCCCTTCGGCAGACGGCAGCGCAACGGCGCCGTTCGGGATGTTAGGCGATACGACGCCCTTCGGTAGACGGCACGGCAAGGCGTCCTTCAGAAGACGATACGGCAAGGCTCCCTTTGGTAAATCGGCCGGTAAGGGAAAGCGCTGCCACCGAACGGGATGGAAAGCTATCTAGATGTCACTGGTGCGGTAGTCCCTCTGGCAATGCCGGTTCCGCCGGAAAATCTTCCGATCCAGCGCCGCTGTCCTCCTAGTGGCTTCAGCGGAACTTCTTACCGGTGATCCGTCCTGCCATGTCGCCTAGACAAAGTGGGCCAGTAAGCCGGTTAATTAGGGCGGCCGCCAGCCGATGGTAACGGGACCTCCAAATGCGGGGCTCCGCGCGCTTTTCGCGAGCCAGTAAATTAGAGTTCCGCGCCGATTCGCGCTGATGCGTGCCGTTTCTTCGCACAAGATAGGTTTACCGTAAACTTTACATACCGGGTGTATAAGCTTAAGTCCGCTGTTTTTTAGTCAGAAAAACACATTTTCTTTTTATAGAAAGCAAAAAATAATTAATTCAAAGTACTGGTTCTCGCTAGCTACACATTTGTCCCATCTCTCGGGCAATTTGTGGATACTACGCCAAAAAAATTCCTTCTCTTTCGACGCAAACCACTTATTAAGCCATTGTCGGACTTCTTCGTAAGCATCGAAGTGTTGCTTAGCGAGCGCGTGGCCCATCGACGAAAACAGGTGATAGTCGGTAGGTGCCAGGTCTGGTAAATAAGCGGCATGGGGTAGCACCTCCCAGTTGAGTGCCTGCAAGTAGTTTCAGACCATTTTTTGACGTGTGCGATGGTGCAACGCACCCGTTGTCGTGAAGGAAAATCAGCTTGTCATGTCTTTGCTGATAATCCGGCCTTTTTTCACGCAGAGCACGGGGCAATTTGATCGGTTGTTGGTGGTAGCGGTGGGCATTGACAGTTTCACCAGGTTTCAACAGCTCATAGTAGACGATACCCTGCTCATCCCAGCAAACGCACAGCATCGTCTTCCGTCCGTAGCGATTTGGTCTTGCGGACGATTTTGATGGTTGGCCAGGATCAACCCACGATTTCTTGCATTTAGGATTCTCAAAAAATATCCATTTTTCATCGCCAGTCACAATCCGGTGCAGGAACGATTTTATTTTTTGTCTGGCGCGCAAGATTTCACATGTGTCTTGGTGTCGCTCTATCTGCCTATCGGTCAATTCATGCGGCACCCATTTTCCGATCTTTCGAATCTTTCCCATGCCACGTAGGCGCATGGAAATGGCTGATTGAGTAACATCCAATTGCTCGGTAAGCATTTTTTGCGAATAGGTATCGTCCTCGTCCAAAAGAGCCTACAATTGATAGTCGTCAACCTTCCTGGGCCGATTTTCACGCTTTTTGTCGCTCAGGTCAAGATTACCGTCGAAGCCAATCTCTGCACGTTGTTTCTGATAAAGCACTGTCGCCATTGACCACCACAAGCATTCGATGCGATTCGGCAGCCGATTTCTTCAAATTGAAGCAGAAAAGCAGAGTTTCCCGCATATACTCTTTTTCTGGCAAAAAACTAGACATGATTACCAAAGAAAAAATGTATGTTGTATGAAATTGCTGATGATGTCCACTGATTATTGTTGACAGATGTCAAACTCATACAAAACAAAACTATGGGGTGTCGATAGTAATTTAATATGCTCACTAACGCAATCTATGAGTAAACAGCGGATTTGAACTTATACACCTGGTAAATTATTTAATAACAAAAATACCTTAATTCTAGTGATTGCCATAGGGACTTCTACCCACTCCGACCTCAAACTCCCCTTATTACTGGCAAATATTTTGTTACGTCACAACATGTGTTATATTGTGACAATTGCGATGTATAATACGTTCGAAAATTCTCATTACCTCACTCATAATGAAACATTATCGAAAAAGTCGGTCAACTTGCTCTGGTCTCCCCTACTCGTCTAATCTGGGCTCTACCCTTCCAGAATCTCTCCTCTTTAATTCAGAGGTGATCATCCACAATCATTTTTTCTCATCTCCGCTTGGAATGACCTGTAAAACTTGATTGCCAGCCTGTGAAAACAGCTGCGCTAAAATGTTCTCGCCATTTAAAGAAGGTACTTGAACGAGAAGGTCACGGCAAGTTATCCGCTTGTCGTTAGCGGGTGGTGTTAGGTCCCGACCTAACCATCGCTATTATAATATTAATTCTTAGATTAGTCTAATCTAGAGCCTAAGCGTATTTCAAAGAAACGCGCTTTCTTATAAATATCAACTAGTACCCTGCCCTCGCTTATCCTTATCCGTGTCCATAATGAGTCCTCGAACGGCTCCGAAACCTTCGACCGGAAAATATCCCGAAATCTGCCCAATTCCCAAAAAAACTAGAACACTCATGGATTTCCCAAAAAATTGATTATTCCAACCTCGCCATCATCGACGAATCACCGAAGAGAATTCCTTCCCGAACCTATGATTTGACCAATAAGTTTTTGGGCTCAATATGCGTACGTGACCTTACGTTAATAAAAGACTAAGGCTATGCGCGCCTCGTGTTCTATTCCATATTTTAGTCTGTCTTTAATCAGTTCTGTTCAGTCAGTCGTTCAGTTCAGTCTGGTCAGTATGTATTCAAAGCATCGAGACTTTGTCTCTCGAACTCGCGTACTTGTATCAAAATCGAACTATCAGCAATAAACCATTTTATTGTATTCAACTCGACCAAGTCTTTGGTTGGTTTCAACCATTTGGAGGCTAATACCTTTTCAACGTCCACGTAATTCGGTCCAGTCAAGGACCTCAGCGAGCATCGCTCGATCCTCTTGAACCAAGGCTCCTACGACCTAACAGTGGTCGCGTCTCGATCGCGTTCGTTTGTTCAGAACTCGTTCCCACGATTCAACGGTCGTTCGGCATTGAATTTGATTGTTCTAGGTTCAAATAATTCACTACCGTTTCCCGATAAATTATATGGCGAACCCGCCCTGCTTTCAGTTCCTTATAAGCGGAATTTTGCAGTGTAATTATACAGACCGGGCAAAGGCTATAATGATCGAGATGATCAGCATTGCGATTAGCGGTGTATCTCGTCATCACCACGGATTCAGGCTTCTTTCCTTCCAGGGCATGTTCTGCAGTTGATTCGATCAACACTCCGGTTTTATCAAAGACTGATTCAAAGGAATTATTTTCGAAAACGAAGCAAATAAATGAAAAAAGTAAATAAATCTCAGCGATTGTCGTTAAATCTCACTTCTGACACTAAATTTTTCCTTTTGAATAACGAATAAATTTCCTTTTGATACGTCTCGCATGCATTATGCCGAGACGTATCGCAGCTCATCGCATTAAAAAAATCCGCACGAGATCGATTTCATAGGTTTTATATGGACCACCGCAAATTATAGACGGAACATTGCGATGCACTTCGGCCTGCCCCGCCTATAATGTACGCGAGCTTTTACTGTTACGTTCATGGAGATAATTGGGGTCGTGACGCTCACTGACTAAATAATCGCGAGGATGTGCCCTGTTCTGAGTCAACAATGGAAATCCCTAAGACTTTTTCGAATATCTAGAGTGGTCTTGCTGTTGCTTTGGTTTGAGAGTAATCGAGGTGGGGGAGAATATCTTCCCATCGAGTGCAACCGAAGGACAGAAATCGGAATCCCCCTCAAAAACACTTCCCTGTACGAAAACATAGCCAAATATAGGGTTGCGACGTTCTCATCCATGGGTTCCCTTCCATAACTCAATATTTCTATCCTACATTAAGTTTCTGCAAAAAAATTACTGAAATCATGACACAGGGCCAAATATGTACGTGAATTAATATCTTCTCTTCTAATGTAAAATATCTTCTTTCTTTGAGGTACAACAACTGCATTCGACACTTTGCAGATTCACTACTTCTTTGCGTTGTTACTTTAGCAACAACTATGTATCACTTAATTGCCAGTTTCTAATATGGCAAAGGCTAAACGATTTCTTATAGAGGACTATTTAGCGAGTCGGTATCCAATATTTTACAATACCTACATCGACTGGACTAACACATGGTTAAAATTGTTTGTTCCCTATTATTGTCTTTACAACAATTATGTATTTCACTTCAATGTTAATTTTGTAAGTGTTATTATGTTTCGTTTCACTTCTATGCATTTGAGAAAAATATAACCATCACTTATTACCCGCAACTGAATATTTAAAAGTATAACACTTTCAATAACGTTGTCTTGTAATTGATTGTCATGAAATCTTAAAATAACACTTCATCTTTGTTTTTGGGCTATAGTAAAATTTTGGATACCGACCGCTATGTAATCCTCTGCAAGGAATCACTTAGCGTTTAACATATTAGTAAATGGCAACTAAATGATACATAGTTGCTGTTGAAGTAATAACGCAAAGAAGTAATGAATTTGCAAAATGTCGAATGTAGTTGTTGAACCACATAGAAAGAAGATATTTTAGATTAGAAAAGAAGATATTAAGTAACGTGCACACTTGACCCTCTGTTATGATTTCAGTAATTTTTTGCAGAAACTTAATGCTGGATAGAAATAATAAGTTTTGGAAGGAAGATTCGTCACAACCCTGTACTTGGCAATGTTTTTGTACACTGAAGTGTTTTTGGAGGGAGATACAGGCTGACTGAAAATAACCGCACCATCCACGAATTCAACAATCCCAAAGAAACCGGACAAACTCAAAAGACAGAGCACATCCCTCCGATACGTAAAAGACATAACCGACAAAACAGGCAGAATATTCCGCAAACATAACATTAGGCCAATGCATGATTGTACAAATTCTGGTGTCCCCCAATCATCTTACATCGAAACTATGCTCATCAGATATGTACAAAGTACCCTATTTTTGCAGGAAGACCTATATTGGTGAAAGCAGGAGGAGAGTGTCCTCAAGGATGAAAGAGCACGAAAGAGCGGTCATATTAAAGCATCCTGAACAGTCAGGAATAGCGGAACACCATATGGAAACTGGTCATAAAATATTATTCGAAAACACATCTATTACAACCAAAGCCTCTGATTTCTTCTTCAGAAATCCCCAAGGAGTAATAGAAATAAAAAAAACAATCAACAACATAAATCGCGACAAGGGATATTAAGTAAACCCTATTTGCAACACTCTTCTCCCGGTTTTTAAAATTTGATTGATCATTCAAATTCACAAATAGGATTGGTCGCCCCTTCTACTAGGCGACCTCGGATTGACTAATCCCCACTGAACACCAAACCTGACAGTTACATAATTTAAAACTAACAAATAACATAACGTTTGTTACAATGTAATAACTTAACAGTTACGTAACATAGAGCTAACTAGTTACAGGACATTTGTTACAGTGCAGTAACTTAACAGTTATGAGACACGTATTTGGTGTATCTACTGATTAATCGGTGTAAACTAAGCCGAAAATGAAAAGAATAAAATTGATTACATTCGAGTTACATTCATTGATCCAGTTTCTTCACTAATAATTTTAAATTGCGTAAGTAAGATGAACGTTGACAGTTTTGTTCTTAAATAAAATGTGATTTAATTGGTTTTAATGTGATAGAAAATCATATCCTCTGTTTATCAAAAAAATGTAGAAAATATGATTTTCTATTTAAGAATGTTAACTTAGTGTAAAAGATGTAACAATTCTCTAAGTTTTTCATTTTAAGTAAATATTTAAGTAGCCGCATATACGCATAACAATTTTTTCTAATGGATTAAGGGCAGTCATTAGAATCGTCACTAATTTGTTCTTCCTTTGAGGAATTTTCCAGTTTAGTTCTTGCTATTAGCTCTTTTGCAGGATTAAAAACACCATTGGTCTGTACATTACAGATGAAACATCTTGTACTTTTTGTATATTGATCAAGGGCACATTTTTCACAAAAGTAATGCTTGCACCTGAAAAGTGTCATATGAATTAGATAAAATAAAACAGATTTAAGCAAGTACTGAAATAACTAACATGAAAAATTCTATAAAAGAAAATTTTACTTTGCATACTTTGTAACAACTGGATCCACAAAGGTCCCACGACATATAAAACATTTGAATGGTAGCGTTTCTTCATCACTGTCAATTTCATACTTTTTGTCGTCCTCATCGCCACTATTATTGTACTCTCCGCTGGCTGCTTCTCTTTCAAGCTGCCAACCCAATTTGTAATCCGAACGGTCATGGAGAAATTTACAACTATCTATATCCATATAATCAATTATTAATGTAAATTTACTTTAGACCTTACTTTTCCTTTTATACTATATAAAAATTATGAAAATTATATAACCTCCAAAACCACAAAAACCAGTTTCTTTATAATCTTTGCAGATATCAGGCTGATAATCCCATCGAACCGTTGCCCTTAAATTTGCTGGTGCACGTATTGGTCCTTTCCGAACCATTCCACTAGAGGCATTACCTGCTGCAGTGTCCTTTTTCTTATAATACTGTACATAATTATTTAATCCCCTGTATATTTTGTCATCCTCTTTCCCTTCCAGTTCCTAAAAACATTATTCAGTCGTATTGCATACTTTGTAACTCTTGCATGCTTCACATTATATTTAATACCTCATTAATTTTTTGGGCCTTTTCAAATAATGCCTGTGCATCTTTATCCAGTTCAGTTTCTGTTTCCAACACAGCAGTAGCTCCTTGGTCACTAGGTCCAGAGGGTATTGGTGTTCTTTTACTCTTATATGATACTGTTACGCTGTCCTTTATACTACTTTCGTTGTCACATGTTTTTTGTTGATATCGTATATTAGTCTACAGAAAAATTGTATTAAATGACATGTGTCTCTACTGAATAGTCTCCCCATAACACAAATTAGAAATAATTGATTCAAGTTTATTATTTGTACATTCCAAACCAAAAATTGGGTTTAAGATAACATACGCTTTGTTTCATGGGATTCTGCTTATTCTGCCTCTTTTCCTTCTTAACCACCGATGTTTCATCTTCGCTACTGTCTGAAAAGTGATTGACCACATTGCAAAAATTGTAATTGTTATAAATAAAAAGTGAACCATGTTAACAATTTATAACCTTCTACCAATCTAAATTCATTAGATTTCTAGCTGTGATAAATTCACCAACAATTATTACCTTCTTCCTCCTCGATTCCCTTACGCTTTCTCACCGATTGTTTCTTAATTTTTCGTCGATTAAACAAAAACGTACAATTTTTCTTTTCCAGCTGAGCGTCCGAAGAGTTCATATTTGTTATAAAAATTTCAACTCAACGTCATGAAAGTAAGAACATTCGGACGAAGCTCAAACAGAGATGAGTTGGGAGATTGCTCACGGGCAGGGTCGTGCGATTGAGGCTACACAAATAAGTGCATCACGAAAGCCACCAGAGGCAGCATCGTCCTACACGGAAGTGACGCGCGAGAAAGGAGAAGAGTTCGAAAATTCTCGGTAACATAATATCGGAGAAGGTAACTTTGAAACATACGGTCAGTTACCGAGAATATTGAGAGTTTATGAGAACATTTGTTTCTTTTATTTATATTTTACGTTTCTTCAAATAAGTAACAGTTTTTTTCAGTCCTTTCTTAAAGGCCCAGCTAAAAAGTAATAAATATCGTTAAAAAAATGTTAATTATAAAGTTTTATTTATTTCCAAAGGAACATATTCAGGTATATTGTATGTGGTGTATCATGTGCTTTGTCTTGTTGTATTCTACAAGAATTACCGTGTTTATTTCAACCCTGTTATTTTCATATGGGTTTTAAACAAAACGTAGAAGAGGATGATTGCATAGAGAATTGCACGTATATATAGACGAAAGTTATATATTTATATATATTGAACAGGTGTACTTAATGTTTATAACTTTGAACTAAAAATATACAGCTGGATTTCAGCTAGACATAACATAATATATTTATTATGGCTTACAAGTATCACGGGTAAGTTTAAAAACTTTGATAATTCGTTTATCAGTCTTACTGACTTAATACTGTAGTTCCATTTATCCACTGTGATCTAAATTCTAAACAATTGAGTGATTGGCTACAAGAACAGTCTTCTTTTATTTTCATAATTTATTTTATGAATTACTGTATGGATAAATAATGTAAATGAGTAATTTCTGAAAATGTAAGTAGACTGTTTTTGTACCCAATCGTACAATTTTTACAACTTTTTTTTTAATACAAAATGTTAAGCAGTTCAGTGACTTAGCTAAAGTCACTTAATAACGTCAGAAAATCAAAATTACGTCTCACTGCTAAAACGTATAAGAATATCATATTGGATATTTCATTGAGAGTTTCAAAGTATTAGTTTTTAACCAGAACGATTTGCTTCTATTTCTAAACATTTTACATCCAACTTTGAATATTCTGCTTCGAACTCTGAATATTCTGTTTCAAAGTCTGAATATTCTACTTCTAATTCTAAATGTTTTGCTTCCAATTCTTCCGCACGAAGCCCAAATTCCTTACCGTTCCAAGGAGTTACAAACATAATTCTCTTCTGTTTTCCACTCTGACGATTTTCCTTAAATGTTTCAATTTTCAAATTAAATGAAACAAATGTAAGTTTTCCTGCTCTGTCACTTAATAAGCGATTTCTCTTTTTAGTATGCACATTTCCGTATCTACTAAAACTTCGTGCTGTTGCAGCACTTGTGGCTGGCATACTAAGTATGTCAATTGCGATTGAACATAATTTTGGTTCACAGTTGCTTCTCCACCACATTATGGCTGGTAACGTCTTAATGGTTTTTTGAACAAATGGTTTAGCAAAAGAACCTTCACTCTGTTTATAGTAGGCCAGATCTGTTAGGATTTGTTCCACAGAGTGAGTATCTTCTGGATATTGATAAACTGCACGATCGTGAATTAGTTCTGTTCCTAATACTTTTTGTTCTCGAGTTAAATGTTTGCCATTGAATTTCAGATCCAAAATATTAGCTGCGAAGTGAATTGGCTGCATCGATAAATTGCTTCTTTCTTTCATTAATAGTTTTAGGTGGGCACATTCGTTAAGCGGCAATGGAGAATCATCGAGCAGTTCTTCGTATGTTGTTTTTATTTCCTTCCAAGCTCTAGGAACTGAGCTGATTATGCACCTATCACCTTCCAAAATTGTTATCCATTTAACGACTGGTGCGAGAAGCTCATGGAGACTTAGAAGTCCACACCAGAAAGTCTCGTTTAAAATATCTATCTTTACTTCGTATTTTAACAGTACATTGTCTGATATTGCTAATGTTTTCAGAGCCATTTTGTTATATAATAAACTCTCGATGCAAAAGAGTGTCGATCCTCATCTTGTTTTTCCGGATAATTTTAATGATATGACTTTTTGCTTTTTTTTCTTCTTGAATTCAAATAAATTCGGCTTTAATTGCATGAGAAGAATTTATATTCTTAACAATTTCAGCAGCAGAAGACTGTACCTCTTTAAATATAAGTGAAATTTATTTATATCTTTTATTACTAAATTCAAACAATGTGCCACACAACCATAAACGTAAATATATGAGTATACTGTTTTAACAAGTTCTCGAGCTTTCACCATATTCAAAGCCCCATCTGTAAGTACAGTTAATACCTTTTTAGGGCCGATTTCTTCAATTACCTCAATAATTAACTTTACCATGTATTCTCCCGTGTGAGACTCTCCTTTCGTATCTTTCGTTTTATAGAGGAATGTTTCGGGGGTCGTGACAACGAAATTAACGATTGAATTATTTCTGCAAACAAAAATGATAAATTTGTCTACAAAATATGTATCCTATAAATCTTGGGGTTTTCCTTTACAATTATTATTTTTCATTGAAAATAAATCAATTATATGAGTTACCGAATGTCGCTCCAACCATCACATTGAATTCCGATTGCACCCGATTTTGCAATAGCTTCATTAACTGCTAATTCAATTCTGTCATGCTCAGCGTTTAAAAGAGGATTACCAATTTTATAAGCAGATGGTAGTTTCCATGATGGTCGTAACTCTTGAAAGAAATCAATCCAATATCGATTTTCAAGCACTGGTAATACACAATCAGATGAAAATATTGCTCTAGCGAGTTTTTCATCTAAACTTTCCTACATAAGGGAAAACAATGTAAACAATTGCAGTTAACTAACATTTTAACTTATATTTGAGGTCAATAGAAAACGATTTTAAAATCAGTATGCAAAATTTATTAAGTGTACTTACTTGCTCATCTGGTCTCATAGAATCAATATATGTCTTTAAATTAAAAAATCTCTTATCATTTCGAAATGTGCCTTTTCTTTCTTGCAGGGGTTTATGATGTTGAGACTTTTTAATTGTAGATGTCGAGTCATTGCCATTTTCTTCTTTAGATTGGGTATTGGAATTATGACCATGTGCAGATGTCACATTATTGTTTACACAACCTGACGCTGATGCAGCAATCTTTTTATTGAAGCGAACCGTATCGACATCTAATCCGTTACCTTAAAATTCAGAAAATTATTATTAGTCTCTAAATGTTGAACCTTTTTCACTCTGTTTAATTTACGACAGATGTAGTTATTATGAATTTTGTAATGTTTCAAGTGCACTTGTATCATGATACTAGTTAAATATACTTTCGATTTTTTTGTAAACATTTTTTAGGTTTAAATTACAACGAAATATTGAATTGACATGTTAAACCTTAATTACAAATTACAGTACATAAAACTAGCACTCCTCTGAGTTCAACGAACTTAGACGATTAAAACATATCAAATTAAATGATTCATATTACGTGAAAATAAGTTATAAAAATAGCTTACCAAATTGATCATGAATATATAAAACTGACGATTTTGCCAGCCTTAATAGCTACAACTAACCTAAAAGTCACTACAAGGAATGGTATAAAATAAATAATTACCATTCCATTTGTCGTCAATGTCCAACAAAGGTTCACTTTTTTCTTTTCTTAACAGGTCCTTAACAGTTTGAGAGCATTTCAAGCAATACTCTTCTAAATGCCTTTTTTGTCGAGTTGCATTTTTCGTGTAAATCACTCCGCAATACTGACATTTAAAATAAATTTGGTTGTCTTTATTTCTGTGTAAAATTTCCATACAAAACCTTTTCGTTTTGGCATTTTTAGAAGTTCGTATAATATGTGATAAAAAATGCCGTTAAAACTTTTACTGTGGGGCTGCGAAACGTAGACAACGCGGTGAGTTTAAACTTCTATTACTCACAACTACCAACAAACCATAGCACTCGGCTACCAACTTCCAAAAGTGTTGGGACTGAATTCCAAAAATCTAAAAGGTGATTTATAAGTACTTTTCAACCTATAATTTGTTTTACTTGAAGAAAAATGTTAATTCTCATAAATTCTCGGGAAAAATAAGCCCAGAGAAATTACCGGTATTTTACCGAGAATTTCCCATACTTCCTGATGTAACTTACCGCGTTTAGAACTCTAGAACCCCGCTTCAAAAACATTGCACCGGAAGTCAGCTAGCATCTACGTCGTTCTCCAAGCAATCAGGTCCTAGCCTGTTAACGCGCGAAAAGGTATTTTGAGGAAGACGATGTATTGTGAGGATCAATGAGGAATAGAATAAAGTAAAGAATAGTGACAGCGTCTACGTTTGATATCCCGCGTCTTGAACAACCGTGGCGGCATACGTCCAGGGAGGTGACACTCTAATTGGAGAAATTAGATGGTGTTTGCAGCACCACCTGACCTAGTAGACGGAACTGAAGAACTAATTTTGCGCTTGCGCGTTCCTCATTAACCAATGACATCTATATTATTTCTTCAGAACCCTGTAGTACCCTGGCGATATCTATGATTTTCATTTTGTACCTTCTAGTCAATCTACCTTCTTTTGTTTATTTCAAATGTTTAAATCATTATAGTTTGAAATAACCTATAATAGCGTTAATAGCTGCTATAATAATACCGTGTAATGAACTTTAACAATAAATAATTACTGTAAAAAGTGTATCTATTATTTATATTCTAATGAAATCAGCTTTGTTACGTCCGCGGAACTGATGCGTAGTAACTCATGTGTTACTCGAAATCGCGACTTCCTGTCTATCCGCGCATGAGCAGATTCGGGTTTCCGTCATTTCGACTGCACTCGATGAGAAAATATTCTCTCCCACTACGATTATTCCGGACCATAGCAACAGCGAGACCTCCGAGACTACGAAATTCTAAAAAGACATCGGCACTTCCATTTTCGACTCAGAAGAGAACAGACCTCCGCAATTTATTTTCCGACTCGGCGACCGTCACGAACCCGCAAATTTCCTTATTGTTAGCTGAGAACGTAACAGTAAGGGTAAAAAACTGGTGTCAGAAGTGGGATATCTGACGATAGTTGCCGAGATTTCTTTTCTTTTTCCTTTTCGTCTAGAAGAAAATTCTTCTTTTGATCAATTTTTAATAAAACGCGAGTGTCAACCGTATCAACAACAAGACAATCCCTGGAAGGAAAGAAGGAAAGAAGGAAAGAAGGAAAGAAGGAAAGAAGGAAGGAAGGAAGGAAGCTTAAATCCGTGGTGGCGACAGAATTAGCTACCAATACCGATGCTGATCATCCTGATTGTTATAACTTTTGCCCGATCTGTGTAAGTACATTTCAAAATTCCGCCTATAAGCAACCATACCAGAAGCAGGGCGGGTTCGGTGTACGATTTGCCGGGAAACAATAACGAATCGTCTGACCCTAAGCCAATCGAATTAGTAATGATGCTAAACGACCCTTCGACTATGGGAACGAGCCCCGAACAAACGAACGCGATCGAGACGCAACCGATAATTAACGAAAAACGAATAACTTGGCGCGACCTTTTCGATCGAGTACCGATTTTTGACGGCGAGAATATTTCGGCACGATCATTTTCACACGCTTGCAGGCGGGTGTTACAAGTCATTCCAAATGGGGATGAGGAAAAATTATTGTGGATGATCCCTTCTAAATTAAGGGGGAGAGCTTCTAGAAGGGTAGAACCTGGATTGGACGAGTATAGAGGAGTAGAAGATTTGTTAAAAGACGTAATAGTTGCTTTCGCTCCTCGAGATACTTCCGAGTTGGAAATGGAACTCGTTACTATAGCACAGGGAACTTACGAATCTACGGCGGATTATGCAAGCCGCGTTTTGAAATTGCTAAAAGATTTGCTAAAATAAGTTCAGAAATGTACCCCGATTCGGAAAATTACCGGGAATTCAAACGATCCGCCGACAATAAGGCGGCTCTAAAATCATTCGTTCGCGGACTTCAGGATGAAACACTATCGATTCAAGTGGCATCATCGAACCCCGTCTCTTTAGCTGACGCGATCGAGATGGCCGAAATAGGGGAACGCGAAATTAAAAGACGCCGGAAAATTCGAGAGGCTCATGACCGAGGCCCTTATGTACCGCGATGGGGTAATGGGACTCCACGGGAGCCCGAATCGGGACTGTCGAGACGCGCTTGGCGAACTCAAACTGCTACGGATCCATTTTGCATGTATTGTGAATATTGTGGGCGCACCGGGCATGTTGCTCGAAATTGTCGAGTAGACATTCATTATAACCAGAAATATTGCGACCTTGAAGGACACTCGTACGAGGAGTGTCGAAACCGTAGGCGCGACTATGCACGCGCAACGGGGAATGAAACCCAACACCCCCGCAGATATAACTTTAATCCGAACCTAAGAAACTCTTCGGATCGCCTCGGGTACTCGGATCAACATGCACGACCGCGAGAATTTAATCGGTATCCTCACGCGAACCCTAATCAGGAGTACCGAACTAACGATAACTACCGAAACAGTCGATATGGGAGTGCTGAGGGCAATCGCCAATTTAATAATTACAGGCGTCCCGTAGAGAATAGACGAGACCCCGAATTTTCAGATAGGAGAGGAGTTGCTCCCCCGAATAGGGACGAATACCACCCCCACAACACAACTAATAGGTACGACGGGCCCTATCGCGGTATTAAGGAGCCCCATTATAGACGCGATCGGCACGGCTACGCAAATAATGACACGCGCCTCTCGCCGGAGGATAAGAATTTCCGCGATAGCTCGGAACATTTAAACTCCTATCCTGCGCGGAGCAGCGGCGTGGCACCAGGCACAGATACGAACAAGCGCCAGGTCAGGTATCGCGAGGCAGAAAATGTACTATCCGTCTCAGCAAGGATAGAGCAGTTAAACCTGCAACAGTAAATCTTCGACTTCGAGAATTAATAGGCGAAAAAGGTGAATTTTTTATTGATTCCGGTGCCGATATTAGTCTCCTGAAGGCTGACCGTTTAAAGGACTGGGCACAAGTAGACAGGAGCGTAATTTACGAATTAAATAGTATCACTGGCGGAGCAGTATTTACCTTAGGACAGGTCATAATAATGATACACGGGGTACCTTGTGCTTTCCATATAATTCAACCCGAAGTCGCACTAGAATATGACGGACTCATAGGAATAGAATTTCTTCGCTCACCGAGAGTCGAGGTATCATTCAGCCGCGGTATCTTCTTCATTGACGACGCGAAAATTCCATTCAGCAATGAGGAGTCAGTGACTCTTCCACCTCGAACTCGACAATTAATGTATGTGAGGATAGCAAATTCGGATCGTAGTTACGGATATGTTCCCGCTTTAGATGCCGGTCCGGGACTTTATTTAGGAAACGCAATCGTTAGTAATCGCGGCGGATTAGCATATTTATATGCCATCAACACCACGGAAGAACCCATCGAGTTAGTAATACCAACAGTAGAGCTTCAGGAATACGAAAAGCTGCCGACAGATTTCCCAGAGATAATTAGTCCCTCGCCACAAGGTAAAACCTCGGAACCGACAAGTAAAATCAATATAAGACGTGTTCAACAGTACGATAGTACCCCCCGGTTATCCCAAGTAGAGGAACTTCTACACCTCGACCACCTCAACGAGGAAGAAAAGGGACACGTCGCCAGTCTGATAAGAGACTACAGCCATCTGTTTCATATACCGGGTGAGCCATTAAAATTTACCGACGTCACAACGCATAAAATCCCGACTACAGATGATCGACCGAATTCGACTAAACAATATCGATACCCTGCAATCCATAAAGAAGAAATTTATCGGCAGGTACAAGAGATGTTGGACGGAGGTATTGTTCAACCCTCCTGCTCCCCCTTTAATTCCCCTCTATGGATTGTGCCGAAAAAATCCGACTCTAGCGGTAGACTTCGTTGGAGGCTAGTAGTCGACTTTCGTTCACTAAATGAAAAGACAGTAGCGGACGCATATCCGTTGCCAAACATAACCAACATACTCGTTCAACTCGGACAAGCTCAATATTTCTCAACATTCGACCTAGCTTCTGGGTTCCACCAAATTAGAATGCATCCCGCGGACAAACATAAAACCGCGTTCTCAACCCCTTATGGCCACTACGAATTTAACCGGATGCCGTTCGGATTAAAGAACGCACCAGCTACATTCCAACGGTTGATGGACCGTGTCCTCGAGGGTTTGCAGGGAAACGAAATTTTTGTATACCTCGATGATATTGCCATCTATGCTAAGGACTTGCGCGAGCATGAAATTAAATTCCGACGACTCATGGACAAATTGGAACAAGCTAATCTAACCTTGCAACCAGAAAAGTGTGCATTTCTTCGGACAGAGGTACGCTATTTGAGCCACGTTATCGGGAGAGACGGACTTAAACCTGATCCCGAAAAATTGAAAGCTGTGCGCGATTTTCCGACCCCCAAGACTGTGAAAAAAGTTAGACAGTTCCTAAGACTCGCGGGATACTACCGTCGGTTCATCAAGGACTATTCCAAAATTTCCAGGCCACTATCAGCCCTTACTAATGGTAAGAAAACGATCCCTTTTAAATGGGAAAGCGAGCAGGAGACGGCATTTCAAACTTTGCGCGGCTAATTGTGCGAGTCGCCCATACTGCAATACCCTGACTTTTCGGGACCATTCATGCTAACAACTGACACATCGGATTTCGCACTCGGTGCCGTCCTTAGCCAAGGCCCCTTAGGAAAAGATCTCCCAGTGGCGTATGCATCAAGAGTCTTAAATAATGCGGAAACGAATTACTGCACAACCGAAAAGGAATTGCTAGCGATAGTATACGCCGTAGATCATTTCAGACCGTACCTATATGGAAAAAGATTCACACTAGTAACTGATCACAAACCTCTTACTTAACTCAAAAACTTTAAAGATCCATCGTCCAAACTGATACTAAACTAAACGAGTATGAATTCGAAATAATTCACAAACCCGGAAGGTA